AGTCTCACTCTGTCGCCCAGACTGGAGTGCAGTGGCACGCTCCCAGCCACCACAGCCTCGACCTGCTGGGCTCCAATGATCCTTCCACCTCAGCTTTCCAAGTAGCTGGAACTACAGGCATGCACTAACATGCCAGGCTAATTTTTTAAAATTCATTGTAGAGAAGAGGTCTCGCTAAGCTGCCTGGGTGGGTCTCAAACCTGTGGGCTTAGGCAGTCCACTTGCCTCAGCCTCCCAAAGTACGGGATTACAGGTTGAGCCACCGAGCCCAGCCTGTCTATTTTTTTTTAAAAATTGAGAACTTAGCTGGTTGTGGTGACGAATGCCTATAGTTCTAGGTACTTGGGAGGCTGAGGCAGGAGAAATGCTTAAGCTTGGGAGTTTGAGGTTTCAGTGAACTAGGATCATGCCACTGCACTCCAGCCTGGGTGACAGAGTGAGACCCTGTCTGAGAAAAATATAAAGGTACAAAACTTCAAAGAAGGGATAATAAGCCCAAAGAAGTAATTAGATGATTAAGAGAAAGAGCCTAGAAATGAAATTTTAAAAGTAACACATACCACAAAACCACATTAAAGGCAGAAATTTATATAAAACTACTTGTATATAAAATATATTTACTGTTTGTAATGTGATTTTGTGTTCTGTATTAATTCTATACACAAGTAGCTGTATATAGAAAAACACAGAGCAAGCAATTGAAACATAGGGACTTAGTAAATAAGCACGAAGAAGCACAAGTTAATGAAAAAACTAATAGAAAACAATAAAGTTATACCAAGAATTACAGAGATATTAAAAATATTAAAAATAGAAATGCAACATATAATTAAAAATAGAATAAAATAAAAACATTACCTAAAGATGTAATAGAAGAAAATTATTTAAAAACAAAAATGTACTTGGATTTGCAATTTAAAAGGTCACTTGAAGACATAGCTGGGCGACGTTTCTAAATTTCAAGGGTAAGTTTAAAAATAAGATAGACTTCTATACAGAATAAACAGTTCATGCTATGTGGTAGTCATAAAGGTATGTCCACAACTTCTTTGATATTCTCTTTAAGAGGTGGAGCTTACTTTCTCTCCTCTTAAAAATGGGCTGAACTTAGTGACTCATTTGCAGGCAACAGAATACAGCAAAAGTGATGGTTTGTCACTTCTGAAGTTAGATCATAAAAAGATGTGAATTGTGGCTTAAGTTCTTGAATCTCTCCCTCTCCCTCTCCCTCCCTCCCTCCCTCCCTTCCTCCCTCCCTCCCTCCCTC